CACACACACACATACACACTAGCTATGTTTACATGCGCAAAATTCTTCGATCAGATTGAATTGTATTCGGATTAAATAATCAGAATGTATTGTTTACATGGGCACAACCCGATCAAGAGTGTTTACATGCACCAGGCTTTTATTCAGAACAGAAGCACTGACATGCACAGTTGCTAACCTTCCCTTTAAAAAAACACAGAAAAAAGTTCTACTTTCGTCATGARCATAAACAAACAGCTTCTGAGCTCAGAATGGACCTGCGACAGGTTTGAATAATGGTGGAGACGTTACTGCACTCTCTGGTTCAGCTGCAGGTGACGCAGGGACTTTTTTTTATTATTATTTTTTGCGAAGTGGTGCAGGCTGTGTGTCTTCCTTCTTTAGTGAATGAGAGAATGGGAGGAAAAGTTCTGTCTGCTCGAAACTGCTGAATGAAAGTCAGCAGACATGCACAGTCAGGTCAGTTTTCCACAATCAGAATAAGATGATCAGATTAAATGTTTACATGCAAGTCGTTTGGATTATCAATCGGCATAAACCACCTCTCTCATTCCGATTACAAATTCATTCGGATAGAGCTGAATCGGGTCAGAATAATCCGAATGGGGTGTTTACATGATGCATTTTTATTCCGAATGGCCATTTAATCCGATTACTTATGTCCATGTAAACGTAGTGACACACCTCTCCCCCCTCTCACTCCATCTAATCTGATCCCCTGAAGGTCAATGTGGAGCTTCACAGAATGAACAATTCAACACCAGTATTCTGAATTAATGGCTGAACTATGTTTTTTTCTTTTGGGAGGCTGGATTCTTCAGATTCATTCCCTCTAAACTCACTTACTCCTCTGGCTAATAAATTCTTGCTCTGCAGAGGTTTTTCTATAAACAGCACAGTGTACCATATTTTGATGATTTACTATGATGTTTTGTCTTTTTCCTCATCTAAGCTTCTGTGTTTTTTTTGTTTTTCTTTTTAAAGATAGCGTGACCCCTGCTGATTGCTGCATGACCTGATCACCTGTTCCCCCATGTTTTTGTCATGTGTGTGTCTTCTTGAATGGGTGTTCTTAAACATAATTTCATTATGCTCCATAAAATGACAATAAAGGCATCATCAATCAATCAATCAATCAATCAATCAATCATTTTTTTGCCTCTGCAGTTTTCATTATGTTCAGTTGCACATAATGCTGAAAAAAGGAAGTTATTCCTGTGAAAAGATCTGTTATAGGTGATCTTGTAAGATTGCAGTCAGTTAAGAAGTGTATTTTTGGTTTATTAGACATACAATACTGGACATTTAAAGAAATACCTGCAGTAGGAGCAAAACTGCACAAAATTAATTTCCTTTTAAAAAATTCTTTCAGCATCCTAAAGGTTTCTTGTTGGGGCAAACTGAAAGCAGATATTGTTTGCACCTTGCTCAGGTCGATCATGGTGAGGATGTCCGACTGAGCTTTCCCACTTTTCACTCTCTCTCGTTCTCTGCGAACGTCCTCATCTTCTGGACCGAGAGGCGGCAGCTGAGGAACGCTCCACCATGGCCTGAACAAAAAAAAAAGAAGATTATTTTAATCTTAGACTAAAGAGACAAAAATTATATTCACTTTGCATTAATAATTTCTGTATTTTATCTGTTGCTTAAACTAGGAAATAAGAGGCAGTTTTACCTGAAGTAAATGAAAAATTTGTACTCCAGGAGAATGGTGAAGATGAAAAAGATGAAGCCTTCTACAGCCATCGCAAACAGATTCTTCCCCACAAAGTCCCACTGAAAAGGGTCGAGAATTGGTTTGGTTCCTGCAGTGGGACACAGAGATGTTATGAAAACATAGATTTATTAAAAAATTAAAATAAAAGAATACATTAAAAAAGCTCTTTTACACCTGCTTATTAATCTAACTGTAATTCCAGTATGTTTAGCTAAAGTTTAAAGTTTATTTAGCATCCATAATTTCACACCTCACTTAATGTGTGCAGTTTGCTGTGTCCCTACAGTCCTAAACAATAAATAAACAGAAATAAAATAAAGAAAAGGTTTCTCTGTAGTGGTTGATAACATTCGTACCCAGTCTCTCGAAGGCGTTTGCCATCGCCTGGTTTTTAGCCATGTCGATGAGACCTCGTCCCAAGCAGAAGTGTGGGAAGATCAAAAACACATTCTTCAGGATCCTGTTGATCTTGTTTAAATTCTGTGAAAACAAAACATCCACAAATTTGAGTAAAAGCAGCAATAAATGTAGCTTTTTTTAAAAACCGATGCACTTAAGTTCAGTGATGGCCGTCAACATCAGTTAACTTCTGTTGGTTGTTTTTTTTCTCCACATTTTAAGATTGATAATCTTTTGATTTTGCTGTTGAATTGTGCAGCCTGTACCTCATCTACAAACATCTCCAGGACAAAGGTGGCGAAGCTTCCATTGATCCCGATGAAGAGGTTGATGGAGGTTAGAAACACATAAGCTGTGCTTGGGATGGAAAAAACAAAGGACGCTGGGTACATCAGAGGTATTATGGACCACCTAAAAAAACAATAAACATTTGTGTTTTTAGAGCTGAAAACCAAATCGGTAAGATGGGACACAAATTTAATGTTAAATTAGACACATCATGTTTTTAAATCCTTCTTTTTCACATCTAAATCATTCAGCTGGTGTTTATATAAAGTGGAACTGTAATGCTTTGCTCTGAATTCCTCCTTATTGTAACTCCAAAAGCCCCTCTTTCACCCCTTTTCTGAAATGTGTCTCAGATCAACTCGTTTTGACGCTGTCTCTTGAAATCCAAACCCCACCTGCCCCCCCTCCAGCTTCTAGAGYGATCCATTCTAGTTTGATAGAGGGGTTTATGACTATAAAGCTGCACAGCAACTTTTTGTTTAAAAATTAATTAAAAGATGTCAACAAGGGACATCTTGTCCATTGATTTGATTTATTTATTTAACAGGAAAAGATTATTAAAAATCAAGCCTGACTCAGCATAATTGCTGTTTTACAGCAGGTTCGTGTTCTGCAGCACATAAAACACTCAGAATTACAG